ATAAAATATGGTAGAATCTTATTATTCGGTAACTTATCAACCCTAAATTTTGTTTACAAGGACAAGCCAAAAAATGTAAAAAAATACTCAAATTAGGGCCATTTCATTAAAAGTGACACTGGGACTTCAGTTCACCTAGTTTCGACACTGTTTAGATGTGTTTTAAGCTTTTAACTGCTTTGTTGTGACCTGATACCAGAACTTTTAAACCTTGTTAAACCTGCATCATTTTTTATTGATGTTCTCAGAAAGAAAACTTACTTGGCATTTAGAACACTTGGAACTAATATGCTAATGATAGTTTTTAAGTTAAAATGTCTTGAATTAATTAATAAGAAGCAAAATTACAATAAAATTAAATACACAATTTTCTTAGATTCAGATTTCGCTACTTTTTAATTAAAAAAGTATTATAATTATAACTAAGATTTTAATCACAACTAATCTGATCTGACGGTACCGTAGTTAATAAGTTTCAGATGTAAACAAATTATATAACAAAATAATCGTAGAACACTGAGCAGTATCTTACCGTTATACTTATGGGCTATGGCCCAGTAATAACTACGTTAACGTTAGTGTCACGTCATTACTATATAATATGACTATTTTTTAAGATATTTTATAATGATCAATGGATGACTAATTATAATAAAGTAGGTACCTAGTAATTAGTATAGTATACTACTGTAAGTTATATTAAAGTGATTAAGTAATATTCAGCATCGAACCGCTGAAGTGGTGATTCTAAATTAATAGGTATATTTTAAAATACTGGGTAGGTTTGGGTGACCTAGCTATAAGGCCATGTCTGGGTACGTGGTAAATCCAACTAACTATTTTAATACCTGCAAAATAAAATAATTATCTATTAATAGTTCATTCAATTACACTGATAGTCTTGCAGGTGATTATAATCCTACCACCTTTGAGACATTGTTAATACCTAGGTTCCCAAAATGAAAAATGTGACTTAAAAAAGTTGGACATTTATAGGTAGGTACTAAAACAGTTTTTAAATATCGGAAAGTAATACGTATACTTAAACGTGTCGTAGTGTCGTACATAATATGTACATGGGTACGAGGTACCTACCAAACAACACATTCAAATAAAAAATAAATAAGGTATGGACCTATGGTCTATACCTAAGACTGTAAAATACAATTACAAATAATTAAACCAACTATGAAAATTATCAACATTATTTTTATCATAGTTATTATAAATGCTTTTGTTTAGAATGTTATATCGGTACATTAAATTTGATTTAAGAGGATTAGGTAAACCTCCCTAGCATAATATTATCCAAAAATGATAGGTAGGAATGATATATACTTAGTACCTACTATATTTTGAATTAAGAAGACTTGACAGAAATCTGAAAGAGAGGACTAAGTAGCCAAGTAGGTACCGATCCTAACCTACCGAATTTGCACCAATGACAATACCTATTTTAATAGTTGATGGTTCTTGTATTGTAAAAGAAACCGTGAAAGAAGCGATCATATTTATAAAGTGTAAATAATTAATAATTTTTATAAAATGGAGGTGTATACAGACGAGGCATCATTGATTGCTTACACAGTTACACCACTGACGACTGTCTTCACGTCACGCCACTGGAGTATAATAATTAATAAGCAACTCTCAGCTTCAGTAGTGGCTCGTGAGCTAATATTCTGGGGAGACTTAATAATTACATAGCATACATTTCTTTGTTCAAATGTTAAAGCATTCAAACCACTGATAAGTAAAAATTCTATTTTTTGGTATTTTTGCATTTTTAAAATTAGAAAAATTACTTCAGCGACTAAAACGTCTAAAACTAATTAACGACAGCGCAGCGGCACTGCAATTAATGTCGTAAACCCTAGTTCAATAGCGTCTGTAATACGTGGCTTATTCTCCATGGCCCCCTCCTCCAACCAGCCATTCTAATAAATGTTACAATTGAAACTGTCGGGCTTCAGTTTCACTAAACCGGTGACTGTACGATATAATATATTTTCAATTCAAATAAAAATATTTCTATAGTTAAACTATTATTTACAAGTAGCTGGTTTTTTTAAGGGGAGACGCGGTCTCAAAGTCTCCCCTGACGAGCTGCCCTTGCTCAGCTTATTAAGTAAAGACGAATTTAGAACTATGTACCTATAGTAATAAGAATAAGACTATAGAAACTTTATGAAACTGATACCTAATGATATCCAGGTAAAGGTATAAAAAACTCAAAAACATTCTTTAAATTTCAAGTGAAGGGAAAGATTTTTTAGAGTGGGTGGTAAAATACTAAAAAAATATAAATATGTAAGTCTTAAGGCAAGACTAGTTTGAGTCGTCACTAGTGGCATATCGCACACATGAATAGAAAGACGAGAAAATTAAAAAATACGTCTTTATGATATTATATAATATGTTCATAATACATAAAGTAAATGGATGCAAAATATACCCACCTTATGGATTTCACACTCGATAAAGGGCCCATGCCTGAGGATATCGAATAATTAACTGATCTTTATAAGCATTTCGTAGGAGTGACGATCGTATTATTTCATTCTCCTGATTTATGGATAGATACCTACGTTATGTTATGACTAGGTACCTATATGCGCAAGTCTGGCACAAATTATTTGATTCTTAACGCTTATGTAGGTACATTGGCTATTGCTGCACATCGACCTATATTATTGCAGTGAGTGCCGAGTGGTACGTGCCCACTAGGTATACGCAACATGATATAATATGCAGTTCAATAATAATATATAGTTCATCATAAACTCGCTTCGGCGACCTTAAAATACATATTATTTAAAGCACTATAATAATATGGGCGGATGAGTCAAGCTCTCGTCATCGGGTCATCGTGTTATGTGATACATTATTATGGAATAATACACACTAATACATTAAACATTTATACCACTGAAACTTTGTGGAGATTTTTATCATATTTAAATATTTTTTTTATTTCTATTTTTTCACAGGTTATTTTTTGAGGAATTTGAAAAATGTGGGTTTATACATTTTTAAGAATCTAATAATAATCGAATTAACCATGCCTATAAATAACTCGACATACATAAAAATATTTCGAAAATTGTTTAATGGTGTGTATAAAATGCTAATACAAACTTTATGTATACATTTCATATAACTATCTACATTCTAGAGAACATTTGTTTTTGAGTTAGGTGGACCAAAAAAAAAATAGATTTTTTTTTAATTCTTAGTTTTTATACAAGTTTTTTTTTGTTTTTCCAGGCGCTTTTGAAAACTACTAAAAAAATTTAACTTAACCTCCCAAATATAGGCACTAGTTTCACTTTCTCGCTGAAAAAGATACTCAAGTTGAAAATTAAAGTATGTCACAAAAAATTTAAAAAAAACATAATTATAAGTCTGGGCATTGGGTTAAGTTAAATTACTGAACGAGTTACTTCTATTTTCATAAGTAACCTCTAATTTAACGTATTCGTTTTTTTTTAAAGTAACATATAACTCACAGAGTTAATTTATTTATTTTTCCCAATATAATTTCAATAAATTTTAAATTATATTTTGATTTTTATATACACAGAAAAAAAATTTCCTGAAAAATCAAATATATATGTTATTACTTATTCTATTCTGTATTCTAAATTGTTAACTGTCACAAGCGTTTTGCATTATTTCTGTATTTAAGATTTCAATAGGTAATTAAATAACGTAACTAATAAGTACAATTTATGAAACGATTTACGAGTAAATAACTTCAGTAACAATCATTAATTAAAATAATTTTAATAGTTCGTTGAATTTTATAATTGATTGAAAAATAAGTAGTTATTTACACAATTGCATACATTTCTAAAAAATAGTGGGACCTAATATTTTATGTAATTTGTTAAGCTTTAATAAAATGTTATGATTATTTTACATGAAATAGTAATATATTTTTAATCAATTGATTGAAGTTACTTTTTTTCAAATTAACCTTTAACGAGTTATATAAAAAAAGATAAGTAACTTTGAACTTCAAACTGAACTTAAATTTGTCTATCTTAATTTAGAGTTAAAATAACTTATGAACTTTCCCAGCCTTGTGTAATTATAAAACCATTCTTCATCCCTCTCAGATTTTAAAAATATCTGATTATTTTTTCCCAATGCTCATTTTTGTTTCGCATTCTTAATACTTTTAAGGGGATCGGTGGCGGTGACGACTGTCTTTGTCTAACACACGCGCAACATAAGAATTCAGAGGTGTTTTTTGGCAAACGTACCGATTGATAAAGTGAAGCGATAAGAATTCTGAAAACAGATTTGAATTTGTCGTCAAATCTACTTGAGATCGGTCGGTCTACATTTTTGATCTTAGATTCTGAGTGAAACGATGAATGTTTTTTTATTTTTTTGTATCGTTTCACTCAGAATCTAAAATCAAAAATGTAGACTGACCGATCTCAAGACCGCCACCGGTCCCCCTAATCTTTACCAATATTGTAGATAGCTATTGCCAAAACCATTATAATTATTATACATTTTTTCTTCAAAAAGATCATGATGATTACATTTAAAAACTTAATGTATATTAACTACTAAACATATTTTTTTTAAATTAATTGAACTTGTGAAAAACATTTAAATATATTTTCAATCGTTTGACTTAAAAACAAAAATGTTAAATGTCTATAAATCCCGAAAAGTCAGTGAAAAATAGTATGGCAAAATACTCCCATTTTGTGTTAGTTATTCCAAATTGTTTTCCCAGGCACCAACCGTTTTCATTTAGCCCCTCCCCCCAATCCATTCCATGAGTATAAACTAGACTACCATAAACCTTCCTCAAAGTAAACGATTTAAGAATTTCCGGTGCTTCAAAAGATAATATACACAAAAAAATATAAAATAAACACACATAATGTAAAATAAATACATTCATCGATCCACTAGAATTTAGAAGGATAAAATGGGAAGTTAAAAAGTAATAATAGGTAAAAAAAAACACTTTTAAATTTGAATAAAAATTATCACTTTTATTAACTTATTTCTTCTTAGATACACCAACAGTTCTTCCTCTACGTCCTGTAGTTTTGGTATGTTGACCACGTACTCTCAAACTAAAAACATAAAATACAATTATTAACAATTTTATAAAAAAATTTTTAGTGTTATACACAATAATTCAATATAATAGGACTTTTGAGCTATGAAGTATAACTCAATGTAATTGATCTTTAAGTTGTAAATGATACAACAAATGGCATTTCTAACAATGATAGAACATTTTCAGGTAACAAATTAACACTCATTGCTACAATTGAAATGCCATTTAAAAATAAATGGAAAAATCAATTTATATAAAACAAATAGAATCTTTTTTTCTTTTAAAGGTTTATTTATTAAAAAATTTGGAGTATTAATGCAATGATTTCCTCGAGGAAGTATTTAATTTAATCATTGAAAAAGAAATTGTTTAATAACACCTTATTTGTTTTAAATTTTTTTAATGTGACAGAACTTAAATGTTTCACTGTGTGCTAATTGGATTCATATAATAAATGTAAATATAAATTTTTTAAGTTTAATGTCAACATAATATATAATAGATATTATACTATTTTCTTATAATATTGTAACTGGTTATAATGTGTTCACAAATTTCTATGACTTGAAGCAAAAAAAAAACATTTTAGAATCATATTTTTAACATGTAAGCACATAAAATCATCTTTTTAATTTTTACTTATTAAGCTACTATAAAAAGAGTAAATAAGCACAAAAATGAGATCTTAATAGTTCATTTATTATTACCACTGTAATAAAATAATATGAATTTTATGATTAAATATATGGCTTGTAATTTGAACATGACAATACTGCCGAATATTGTTACAAAATTATTACCACATTAATTTAATTTTTAAATTCAACTAGTATAAAAACAAACCAGAATTCTAACTTGATCTACTATAAGATTTCTTAAGATTATTATTCTTTAACAGTGGTCAAATTTTGATAGTTATTATTTATGGTATGTCTGAATAATAAATAAAATAAACAAACCCCCAGTAATGACGGAGACCACGGTGAGCCTTTATTTTCTTCAACCTTTCCAAATCTTCACGCAATTTACTGTCAAGGGAACTGGAGGTAAGCTAAAAATAAAAATCCATGAGTTAATTTAAGCAATTAAAATTATATTTACTGCATTTGAACAATACTAAAAATTAATTCAAACTAGCATACTTGAGAGAATTTTCCATCAACAACATCCTTTTGTCTGTTCAAAAACCAATCTGGAATTTTGTATTGACGGGGATTTTGCATAATTGTGATAATTTTTTCAACCTAAAAATAATAATGCATATATTATTAAAAATATCTGAAATTCTAATATAAAAATATTTCAAACTTAATAAATAAAATATTAGAGTAAATGATACAATTTAATCATAGAAGTATAACTGAAGAATTACCTACATAAGTTGATTTTTATTTAAAAATGTAACTAAACAGAAACTAGATTAAATCTATAAGACATGGTTAATACAGTTCTACACATAAAAATCTTTGTTGCACAATTTACCTATTTCATTATGTATGAACATAATTTACTGTTGATTGTGCTTTAAATAATTTAAATAGCAGTTAAAAACAAAATACAAATTTAAACTAAACATGGACTAAAATATTCATAATTAAATCTTAAATTGTACAATACTGTAGTTAAAATGAATCTCTGCAAAAACCTATTAAACGGAAATTACTTAATAGATTTATATATAAGCATTTATTTTGCATAATTTACCAATTTCATTATATACATACATAATGAACCGTTGAACATGCGTATTCGTGAATAAAAACTATATTATACATCAACAGGACAATTTATCGAAGACCAATCATTATTTCACATGATTTAGGAGAAATTATAATTTTTTTTGTAAATACAAGCCTTTATTTGGTATTTCTTAAATTTCCATCTCTGCTGAATTTATGTTTATTTCTTAAATTCCTGAATTATGTGTTTAAAATTAATGTTGTAATATCGATTTGTGTTTTAAATTATAAATATACACAACAAAGGTTAGCATGGTTAGCAGATATTATCTGGCGCAACCACACAGAGGATACCCTCAAACTTTATTTTATAGAAAAAGAAACAATATAGAGGTAACTATAATAGGTTATTTACAATAATATTTTCATGTTAAAATAAAAAGCAGTGATATTTTATTGTCTCTCCACCGATAGAATATCAAATGAATATTTTGCATTTATATTATCCTAATGTAGATTATTATTTTAGCACAGAATTCTTGACATTTAATAAGAAATAAATGTACTGTTAATTAATCAAACGGTGCATAAAAATATATTAAGATACATTTAATTAAATTGAAATAACCTATATTGTGTATGATGGAATTTCTAATGATCCTAAAATTGAATGATATAGAGAAACTTCTCCTCAGTGACACCTCTCAATGGGAGACGTTTTTTTGGGAACCAGCTATAAACTTTCTACATTCTGAACTTTACAAACGAAGGACAAAATATCAGCTACAGTGAGTGTTCGGTATATAGAGGTTTCATTGCACGCTTTTTCAAAAGAAGTACCTAGAGAATATTCATAATAGTAACAAATTATCATGTTTTTGACAAAATATTCAATAGAGATACTGATAAGTAGCAGTCATGTCCTTAAAATAAATCTGAGCAAATTGCAATAAAATAGAAGTTGCTAAATAGATTTATGTATAAGTGATTAATTTTGCATAATTTACCAATTTCATTATATATATATATATAATGAACCGTTGATTATGCTTAATCGTGAATTAATATAACATAGTACAGCTCAAGTATTTAGCATTTTATTTGTCTTTTCACCGATAGAATATCAAATGAATAAATTGCATTTATATTATCCTAATGAAGATTATTATTTTAGCACAGAATTTTTGACATTTAAAAAGAAAAAATGTACTATTAATAAATTAAACAGTGCATAAAAATACATTTTGAAATAATCTGGGTATAATTAAATGTCTGATGATCCTAAAAATGAATGATACAGTGAAACCTCTTTTAATGGACACCTCCTAATAGCAAACTTTGTCTAGGGAACCAACTACCAACTTTCTATAATCCCCGCCACGAGAGACCCATTTCCCGACCAAATTGAGTCTGATTTCCCATTTATTTGACATATAGACGTTGTACGATCAAAATCGTTAACAGTTGTGTTGCCACAAAGCTACAGACACTAAGTGGGGGAAATAGGACCTCATAACAATCGCTGCTGTCAGTCTGCATGCACGAAACTGGTTACTTCTCTCGCAGCACTAAGTATACAATCTGAACTCTCTGAGGGGCAGACAGAATTTCAGGGACTGGGAGTGTTTGGTATATAGATGTTTCTCTGTGCGCATTTATAAACATAGAAATATATAAGATCCATAATAGTCCATAATTATTAAGCTTTTGACAAAATATTTAATAGGTAATTACTGATAAATTGCAGTCATGTCTTTAAAATAAATCTGAGCAAATTGCAATTTAATAGAATTTACTAAATAGATTTATATATAAATGATTCATTTTGCATAATTTACCAATTTCATTATATACATATATAATGAACCGTTGATTATGCTTATACGTGAATCACATTAAACAGTTTAGATATTTATATTTCTAACAAGAGATTATTTTGTGTCTCTTCACCGATAGAATATTAAATGAATAAATTGCATTTATATTATCCTAATGAAGATTATTGCTTTAGCACAGGATTTGCAACATTTACTTAGATATTAAATAAATGCAATATTATTTACAATACAGTGCATTGAATTTTAGATATTAAAAATTAAAATTTGAAAAAAATTAAGACGATCAATATGCTGGTTTAATTATGTAGTTATTTTACCCAGATATTTACCATCTTACTACCTCCTAATATTTAAAATATTAAGTACATGAAAATGTATGAGATGATCATGTTGTAAACACATTTATAAGAATTAAATATAAATAAATAACTCAAAAACAAACAGTACTATTTGATTTTGCACAATTCAACCATTTAGCATTACAAGTATAAGCAAGCAAAATTTCTCAATTTGTGCTACAGTTTCTTCCCATAAAGTTAATTGCCTACAATATAGGTAGTAAATACTGAATGATGGATAACCATTTAATGATTGAATTTCTATACAAAGTTTGATTTACAAAGATAAACCATTTTATCATTTCATGCTAATATTTTAATAACTCATCTCAAACAACAATTGAAAATCATTTTCATAATTAACTATTGAAGTTATTCCTTCACATGCATGGGCCATTTAGTAAAGGTCTGCCAAAAGCCCTTGGTAATTGCAAGGCATTTGCTTTAGCAAACGTATTATAGTACTACGTGAAACAATTGACGTAATATTCTCAAAGACGTTTGCAACAGTCTTGAACGGGGATGACGATTTCAAATCGATACAAATTGATCCGACAAAGATTATCAAATAACAAATCTTACAAACCTCTTCGTCGGTACATTCTCCAGCTCTTTTATTCAGGTCGACGTCGGCCTTTTTCAACACAATGTTGGAAAACCGTCTACCGATACCCTTGATGGCGGTCATGGCGAACATGACTTTACGTTTGCCATCGATGTTGGTACTGAGGATACGCAAAATGTGCTGGAACTTCTCAGGGATGACCAAAGACTGAAAAACACCAATCAACAATTAACGGCTAAAGAAACAAACATTGAAAGTCGCGTCAACAGCCCAGGTGCCGTCAGATTCCGGCGGACCGACGGGTTCTGTGACGATCACGTCCAACAGTTTGTTGTACAGTTCGAATCCCATTACGATCCGAACGGATGAAAAATCGAAAATAAAATACGGTACTCACCATTTTGGTAATGTTGTCGTCAACAAGCACGGGCGAAAAAAGATTATAGTTTATAACCACAGTTTTCGGTGAACGACATGAAACGCTACAAGGTGGACAGGGTTTGAGGAGGGGGTTATCGGATAATTCAGATCAGGCGACCAAACATATTATACCAGTGTTAAAGACTACAGTGGTGCCAACCCATTGATTACGAAATAAAAATGATCATGCTTATTTGTTATTATTTATGTATCTGCCATCTAGCAGTTGTCTATTTACCGTACCTACCAAAAATCAAAATTCAAAATCATCCGTTCACCTACTCAAAATACTGAAAATAAAACTGTCATGAGTTCATGACTTACAAGTCTACTAGTCTACAACTCTTTTAACTACGAAGTAGTTGAATGTATACTATTGTCTAAACCGACTAAACCTAACCCTATACAATCACAATTTATTATAGGGTATAATTTAAGATTTTAATACAAACATAATTTTATAGTTCGTTTAATCCAACAAAAAAAATAATATATTTTTTTGTATTAATATTTAATAGCCAAACTGTAGACATAGAAAAATAGATAGGTATTAAATTAATTCATACTTCGTTATTTTCGTATTTTCTACGTGTTTTGCATCCTGCAACTTTCGCAGTCATGTTTTCTTGAAAAATTTACAACATCTAAACTTTAAAGACGAATCAGCAATATCAATTTATTAATTAAAGGTAAATACATAATATTATATAACTATATTCAATATTGTCATATATTTATATACTATAGGTATTGAAGGTACCTCTAACCTCTTTACTATATATCTTAAATGACTTACAACGTGCTAAAGGATAAAGAGGAAAGATAGAAAATTAAATTTTTTTTAAAACTGTTAACAATTTTTGTAGTAGCTATGTGAACTGCAGTCCCTATCAATTCAATGCATGCTTCGCTTTAAGATCAACACAACAGCAGCAGTAGATGGCGTTGCTATTATCATCAGAACGCATTGACTGAATATAATTTATTTACGACAGTCGAAGACACAATTAAATATAATATACATTTATTATTTATATTATGTCTAGATCACCATAATAATTGCCGTCGGCTTTGGCCAGTTGTGTAGTGCGTACGCAGGGGGACTAACAGGCTGAACCTCTCCCCTTAATTAGCCGCATTATTATTTTAAATATTATACAAATATTTATCAATTTTCCATTGTATAGCCAACTAATGAACAATTCATAAAATCACATATTACGTTTTATTAGGTAAGCCTACACAGGCGCGGATCCAAGGGGGGGGGGGGCAAGAGGCCATGCCCCCCCCCGTAGACGCACGCTTAAATGGACTTGCATTACTTGCATTTTTATCAGACTTATAGGCTGAAATTTTATTTAAGATGGCCCCCCCCCTCGTAAATACGTTCTAGATCCGCGCCTGAGCTTACATAAATATAAAATGCGACAGTTTGAACTGGAAACCACTCTGCTGTACAGTAGGTCACTCGAGTATGTCACAGACCACTGTATAATGGATGTGTTAAATTTGAATTCAATGATAACATTGATAACTATATACCGGGGGTGGCCGCATGCGGCTCTCAAATCAATTTCGTGTGGCTCTTGTACCAGACTTAGACTAAAATTAATAAATATATAATTTCATCAGAACCGTTAGATAGGTAGTGGTTTTTATTGCTGTCAGTTTCGTCATCATTTCAGTCGTTAATCGTTATTAGGTATAGATTGGCACGACAGCGGCGGTGACGGAGCTTTTAATATATTAAAATATATGTGTAGTCAAAAATAATCACTGTGTTTCGACCACGCCAGAGTTCCTTCATTTGATTTAAAATGAAAAATGTATCTTCATTTTATAAACACTGCTTTACAATGTGGCTCACCTCGAATTAACTTTATACATTTGCGGTTCCCAAAGTTATGCCGGGTTTACACTGGTCGATCGCGGTCACCACACATTTTACCACGTCGGACTTTTAAGAAAAAAATAACAGCTCTTTAAAATTACTTGCTCAAACAATACGAACGATATTATGATTACCTAATAATCCGTTTATGTACTCAGTGCTGGTGCTATAATTTACCGGGCCTGTGCAATTTAAAAAAGCGAGGGCTCCCCAATGCCAGATAAATCATCATCGGTGCAAGCGGTAAATTGCACGTTTCCAGCACACCACTCGCGGCAGCTACTGCTCTGCGGTTTACTGATTATAAGAATACCGTTCTTTTTTACCGAGCTTATTTTTCATGGAACTCGAAATAATATACCAGGTAATATTTAACCATTTAATGTAAAACACTCGTTATTTCAAAAGCTATAAAGTTTTTCACAAATATTTTTTATAAATAATTTTAAGTTGTAACAAAACAAAATTTTCTGAAACTTTAAATAAGAAATACTTTATTACTAATAAACTATACTTGTACTAAATTTAATTTTAACAGGAACTTATAAATAGTTCGAATAATAATCTAAAAAAATAAGTGCCTTATGCCCTTCTGTTCAATGTCTCGCACCGAAATGTTATCTGGACGAAAAAACAACATAATAATATATTATAACCACTGACAATATTTTATAATAATTGGGTTGGAAAGATCTAATAGTTCCATCTAAATATAATTATTTACGTAGACAGCAGTGACGTATCCGGGATTTTTAAATGGGAGGGGGGTGCAAAATACTAAAAAAACATGATCAACAATTAACAATAACAGTTCATTTTTATATTAAGTTTAACGTATTTAATACATTTCATTTTTTTTATAATTAAATTTCAATTTATTAGCTTCATTTTGACCAATTTAATAATGAGAGATGTCGATGAGATTTTGAAGAAAAATTTGGATTACTTCTTCTTCTGTGATTTGTTGGAATTTGTTTATCATTGTCATACCCAACCCATTAAGTCTTCTCTTTCAAAAAAAAATTACTATTAAACAAATTCATAAGAATTAAGAGCAAAAGTGAATTCAACGAATTATTCATACGTATAAAATAAACAATAAAAGAATAAATTATGTAAAAACTTTGATACGGCCGATTGAGGGGGGGGGCACCGGTTGACCGTCCCTCGAAAAGTCAAAAATTATTTATTCTTTCATATGGGTTGGTCGTAGGTACCATAAAATATATTATTACGAATGCGAATGAATATCAACAAAAATATAATTTAGAATTAATAAAATTAATAAAAAGGTAAATTATGAATTAGATATATAGTAAAAGTAATTGTGATAAAATATTTTTTATACTTTTTGTTAAAATATTACAATAATTATTATAATCTTGTGAAATAATAAATGGAGAATGGTAAAGATTAAAGAGCTATCACATTGATATGTGTATCAATGTTTGCGGTAGGTATACGTAATTGCTAATAGGTACTAACTTATTACATACTTATACTCCGGGCTCCAGTTATAAAGTGATTTATACTATTATTATATTTATACATATAAATATATAATTATTTGTACCTATACAGCTACAAGGCTCTATAATTTGTATAATCATTATTCATTAATCAATGGACAATAATATTTAATAAATATTTACTGGTTACTATTTAATATAAAGTACAATGACGTATCTGGATAAAAAACTATTGGTAGAAGGTGAAAAATAATTTATTCACAAAAATCGAAAACATAACCTAATTGTTTGTTTTTACACAAGTCTACTAGTAAGATAATACTAATTACTAGATAGCAAGTATAGTACCACCTAAGATCAATTGGAACATTTTAGGACACTTTACTCAAAAACCGAGTGAAGCATGACAACCCTATTTTTTTCCCCTTTTGAAAACGAGAACGGGTGGGAACTGTTTAGCACGAACATGACAACCCTACAAAGCAATGTTTGCATTGCAATATTAGTAACTCTTCTCTGTACTTTGAATAGTTAAAAATTCAGTAATAATAATAATAATAATTTATAAAAAAAAAACAGATAATAATTCATCCATTGTATAATAACTTTAAATTTATATTGTTTTGTTGATTAATAATTACTACAGTCGGATAGCGAAGTACTATCCATGTACATTAATAATTTATATTATTTAAGTTTGTACGTCTATGGTGGTATAATAAATTATTGAAATGTTAAACTATTAATATTCTACTTTTTGGTTCATCCTGTTACCGATTTAGTTAAGTAAGTAGGTAACAGTAAATATGTAAATAAATATAAAATATTTTAGAGAACTAATACATGGATTTTGAAGTAATCATGAGGAAACTGTGTCTTGAACACCACATCGTCTTCCTTGTTGCGGTAATCTAAATAACACAATGAATATATACATTGAAATCCAAATCTTTCAACAGCTTTTGCAGTAAAATGACTGGAGCACTCCACGTAAATCATTTGATACCCTAACTCCAATGCCAACTTTCTAGAAATGAAAATATTAAATTAATGTTATTGAAGTATTACCAATAGATCTATAACATGTTTATATTTATAATCAATATACGAAAAATAATTTTTTTTTTAAAGAAACGTATTGTTAAGTTGTTTTTTTGGCATTTTACACTTTTGTAGTTCACTGTGGGAACGTACACAAAAAAACAATTTGTTTTTATTAGTGGGGAGGATATCATTAATTATAAGCTATAACCAATATAAATTACAAATTAGAATTTACAATTTAATATGTATAAGTAAAAAATATATCCGAACTACATTTCAGAAATTTGCAACTTTGAACCCCCTAGTTATAATGGTTAACAAGGTAATAGAGATGACTCAGACCTGCAGGGCGGATTTTCAACATTTTGTTCTGGGTGTGTTCTCAAAAATAATATGTTTTCAAATGTATTATTTTTATTTTTATTAAAAACAAGTTTGAGCTGTATTTTTAAAAAGTATACATATCTGTGTCTGGGGAGGAGGCAGTACTCCTGCTCCCCCTTCCTTACCATACCTAACTATAAATCTGCCACTGACTGAGACTATTAGAAAAATTTGTGTAGATTTGCTTATCTGGATAACACGGCTACTGAATAGTGAGTAGTGAGTAGGTACCTACCTATTAATAGATATTAATTGAAAGCGATGACGTGTTATTGCCTAAATATAATCTAACTTGAACATTCTGCGTAAAAAACCATAAGTACAATGACACCATAGCATGTACCATGGTGTTTATCTACTGTTTTTTTTTTTTAATTGTAACTAACAAAATTAAAAATAATTTTTGATAAGAGGAGTGTCGATATCAGATGAAAAATGGATACTTAGTAAATAACTATCGGTACCTATTGCTATTTTTAGTTAAATTACATAATAATTTTGTTCTTATTTCGTTTTACTAAATGGTAGATAAAACATAATTAATTTAAGTAAAAATGTAATAAATTATCTTATTTAATAAGAAGTATGGTGTCTTTAATTTAACAATATTTTATTAAATTTCTTATTCGCTTTACATAAATGGTAGATAAAATATCAGTAATTTAAGTAAAAATGTAATAAATTACATTATACTCGGGATAGTATTAATTAAGAACAATTTCCATGTTGCAATTAAAGAAATATTCACATTTTTATCAATACACTTCATAGGCTCGAACTCAGGGCAGTTTTTTCACTAAAACTATAGCCATTTTCCCTTAAAGATGGGACAATTTTTCCTGGATGATTTAGTATCAAGTATACAGTTGCTGTAAAAATTAATAATATGATTGAAAAAAAAATATGTTTAATATACTTAGACTTGTTGATGAGTGCTTTGCAAACCCCTTGTCCTCTATATGCCTCATTTACTGTAATAATCTTTAACTCCATTATACGATCAATATTTGGATACTTCCCAAATATATCAATATTTTGTTCAGCTTTGTCTAAGAAAACCATGATTTCATTAAATTTTGAACTTTTATCATTGTTCTCGTCACCGTATTTTTTTATTTCGTCATCCCTGCATAGCGTGGTATTCAACGAGGCACCCATCATTTCACCTGTCTCTGCAGATACTGCCATAAACGATACGCCTGAATAGTAAAAATTGTATTTTGAATTTTATTGATACTTACATATTACCTAAATTTACAATAGTTATATAGTGTCTTAATGAAAATCTACCTAAGTACCTATACATATGTTTAATTTTATTATTTGTCTACTTTTTAACTTCCTATTTTTCAGACTTAAATTTTAACCTTACTTTTTTGATTAGTATTTGAAACTAATGTCAATAATAATACACATATAACTGAATAAAAATATATCACAAGATAGTATATAGTAGATAGTGGTATTATATTATAAAAGCCATATTCATAACCTTCAATGCCACAAGCATTAATTTTTTTTTAATAATGTACATAAAATATAATCTTCTTAACTTAACATTCATCACGTGCTTTATAAGATATATTTCTTAAGTTTCACGTTTTATAATTTTAACGTTTCAAATATTTATTACTGGCCAAAAATATAATATGGCCTTCCACTCAAGATCTCATGGATTTATAACGTTATCGGTTTTTTTATAATAAATTTAAAAATAAGTTATAATTGTATAGCAACAAAAATCACAGCACAAAAACAGGTACGATAAGATACAGTGCATTTTCTGGTGACGAATAATTTAAACTAAGTACCTACTATGTTAAAAATACATTAGTCAGATAAAGTATATTTTAGCCTTTTTTTATATATCAACACGTAACACATAAACACATTATTTTATAGGTATATACGCATACAATAATATTCTACTTCTTATACTAATATAAACTTACTACAAGTCCTAAGTAGGTTTTGTATGTACCATTTGCAATTAGTATTTAATAACTCACCGCATTGCAATAAGTCAGAACAAAAATTTTCAAGTTGTATCACTGATTCTTTCTCTTCCATTAACCCTAAACTTGCACATAAAGGTTCGTCGCGGAAAAAGTACTGTGTTACTGAATTCATCACAACTTGTTTATCATTATCAGTTATAGGTACTACGTTAATAGAAACTTTGGTGTTTTTGATTTCATCCATGTTATTTGTCAATATCTGAAAAAAAATAATATTATGTATTTACACCATAGTTTTGATCCACTTTTAAAATTATAATTCTTAATATTAAAACATTAAAATATATCTCCGCAAGTTAATAATTCCCATTTTAAAATCACTTACAACGTAACTTCATCAATAACTCTTCTTCTGTCATGAAAAGGTTTCAAATGTTGCACACTCAACTACGTGTACAGCCATTGAGGGTTGCCCCTCTGTAGAACGTTTTGTGTAATTTAAAAAAATTCATATATGAATTTGTATTGCTCAATGAATACGTCCTTCTAATTTGTAATATAAATTCGACTAACACGATAATAAATATCAATCATAACTTGGCCCTTGGGCCTTGACCCTCTACAATACTATAACGACTGTTGAATATTTCAATACACCTTTAATAGGTACCTATGATGGATAGTACTGATTCTTAATATCAAGTTTAATGATATGACGTGGAAGCAAATACCGATATTATTTTAAAAAAACCACTGCTTATTTTTATCGAATCAAAAATTAAAAGCTTTTTCAGTTTTCGCTAAATCATTAAAAGTGAAAATAGGCTAGAAACCAAATCGTCTTACAAAATTACTCAAAATGCTATACAATAAAATCTGTTTACATTGGACTCATTTTGGGCAGTAATAAAATTTTAACGGAAAAAAATGTGGATTTCTATATTTACAAACAAAAAGTGATGTAACATTACAGCATCGTATACCTCTCCGTGTACCAGATACGAGCTTATAGCTTAGTTGGTATACATATCAGATATTATGTTAAAGTAATTTATTGTAATCATTTAGTTGTATAATGGATTTGGTTTAAATAAATTGTCATTTGCAATTTTCAGTGCACAACACCAATAGGTTTCATAATACAAGAACTAGGTCAACATTTTTTTTTAGCAGAAAAATTATCAATGTTATATCAACCAAATCTTGGTACAGCTAGTGGTATTGTTATTTTTTATTTTTTTTGACTTTGAAGGGTTTGATTTAACATTAACTAATAGTAGCATCTTTAAAATTAATTCACTTTGGATACAAGGATAGGAAGATATACATTGAGATCACAAAATTAAATTCCCCTCCTCTCCCAGTAGTTCATAAACATACCTGGATTATAAACATACAAAATCCTAATAATTTTCATTATTAATTAACCATCATTAAGGGACTTATCAATCCTTGTTTTCTCTTCACAGAAATGACTAAATATCAAGTGTAAATATTTTAAATTAATAACAAAAAATAACAAAAAAATAGCTATATGATTCATGAAAATTTTTTCAAAGAGAATAATACGAAATCAAGAAATTGATTAGTTAAACAAAATAATTTTGATTTACATTTGTATTAAAACATAAACTTTTTAAACCCATAAAGCGTAGGCATCTATTTTTAAAAAGTAATAATAAACGTACTTGTTTAAAAATGCTTATTACATACTAAAAATTGTTGATGAATTAATAGGTAACAATGAAACAATATTTAATTTAATATGTAATATGTATTGTATAAAATGTTGATGTAAAATTAAACATTTTTTAGCCAATAATTGTTTCATAATAGTAAACAAATAGTACTTACTAAAACACTATCGTCATTAAATTAATTATAGTTCGCATCAATGGGACCGATGTATCAATTCAACGAGCAATTGTTAAATGAAATTAATACAATAATTAAGTTAAATACTTTGATCTAGAATAGATTAAGAAAAAACAGATAATATTATGTGGTTTTTGAGGTATTTTTAATTTTTATCTGCTACATAATAAGAGAACGAGCCAATCTTGAATTTTGAAGGTTTTGTTCAACATGCATTTCCGGACTACATTTATCGTTTGATAATTTGTCTATTTTAAAATTTTTAATAATCTAGTACAATCTCTCAAAGAAATTTTTAAATCATAAAAACAAAATATATTATCACATATAAAAAATAATCGTGCTACTTTTCTGACACCCACACAGTCAATATATAGGTAATTCGGCACTGATAATATATTCCACTTTAAACTATATTATATTTTATAGTAACCTTCAGAATAAAATTTTTGTTCCAATGCAATAACATAAAAGTCTACGCACTATATTTTGATACCAGATAACTGCTTAGTAACAGTGTGTAGGTATTTTTTTAACGCTCTAAGGCAAACATAAACTCCCTAAAAAGCTAAAAAAATCAATTATGTGTGAAAATGTCTTCAACAAATTATATTATTATTACTTATTCCTAGTATCTTGATTTTTTAATGTAGACGTAGTATGAGCCACGTCAAATTATTAATACCTAGGTAGTAGGTAATAGCTTATAATATTAAAATCACACTATATGTACTTACTGCCTAATATTTACTACCTATAATTATTAATTATATAGGTAATCTTTATTCTATATTATCGACGTGTAAACATTTCTCAGTATGCCTAGGTTAGGCCAGTTTAGATTAGGCGTGTCTATGCAAATAAAGCGTATGCGAAAAATAAGGTTACTTAGGTAATTTTTAAAACATCGAAATGTTATGTAGGAACATATTATACATATTTAGCAAAATAATTAAAACTGATTAAAAAAAATGAATAACTACTTTTTTAATAAAATAAAAAAAAACGTAAAAATAAAAAGAGGGAATGTAGGTGACCGCTTTACTGTATTTTGGCTATAGAAGCCAGTAGATGTAAATTGTCGGGTGTACCTCATCATTGAATAAGTCACTACTCTCTGTAATGTATAATGCTATGTATCAGTGGTTTTCAACCTGAGGGGGCGCCCCCATTTTAATTACTAAAGTAGGTATATTTTATGATATATTTATATTGCATTATTGCTATTACAGTAATTTATGTAACTATTTTCACATCTATTTCAGTTTGGATGAATGGAATTAGAGTGTCTTTATCTTTTTTTTTCAACAAGGACAAATTTATGTTAAAAAATACAACCTTTTCTACAGCACATACCAAAAATCTAGGCCCATGACGACTGAAACCCCCCTTACTGCACTATTTGCATGATTGTAATTATTTTCTTAATCCTCAGCACTATTGGAGGAATTCTTTTAACTTAACATGGACAACTCTTCAAATTCTATTATTATTTTTACCACTTTTTTCATTACCACTCTGTTGTATTTTTTTTCTCTTAGAACAAGGGTTCGTCGATTTAAATGATATACCCTGGTCCACCTATTTTTTGACACTTATTAAATTGAGCTATAAACATAAATCTCTACATAAATCATACCAATCAACTATACCGTCATCTTTCCTCTTCTGGTCCAAGTTACTGTTTGAAAAATGCAATTCAAATCAGTATAAATAAAAATTGCATCATGTTTTCAAATAGATTGGTATGCTTGCCATCCCTTCTTTGAACTACATAAGGCGTAAACATAATCTTTAGGCTTACCGTTTTTGGACTTTTTAATCTGCTTTAAAAAGTCTCTGCAAACCGTCTTCCAGATCGTCTCGAACTTTTGAACATATTTTTATGATGTACAATATTTACATACCTGGTTATAATTAGTTTTAATTTTTAAATACAATTTGTTATAAATACCTTGATTATCTTCTGGTTTTGTGAGTAGACCTCTGTCCGGTGTGTATTTTACATAAGTTAATTAATTGAAAATCATGTGTCAATATAAAAAAACCTGGATTTCTACTCATTTTCAAGAACATTTTGCGAGTAATATCTACAATCAACGTAAATCACTTATTTTTAACTGTTTAAGACCAATATTACGGAACTGTACTTAACTTACAAATCGATTAAATGATTATTTTTCTGTAAGTAGATAACATATTGAACAAAAAATGCGGTAGATATCGTTGCAGCCATGGGTAATATATTTAACCGTATCCAAATTTTGACCCAAACTGGGTAAGCGTGTAAATTTAAAATTATTATTTTTCCATGACCTCTCAAAGTACTGAATTGATTTACTTTCCAACCAGAAATTATATCGAAGAGGATAATCGAAGGATTTTTCAACTACATAAAAAAGGGTATGTATTGAGACTCAAAAAAACACATCATTGTAAAATCAATAAATTCATCACACGTCATGCCAGGTAACCATACAAGTTCGCTGCAGGATATACGAGGAAACATAAATCGCATTTAGCTGGCACTTGGCAGATCTTGAACTTTTGAGTAATCGCCAATAAAATGTTTAATTTTCTTATATTTTAGATATAACTGAAAGAAATTATCCTTAACTATATAATATTTAATTATTATTAATGTTAATCCATTAAGATAAAATTAAAAATAAAAGTATTTTTAAAAATCTTTGTTTTTATGTTAAAATTTACTGTGTACCCAACTCAAGAGTGCAATTACCCGTTTTCATGTACGCTTCAGACTAATACACTACTCGGGTAATAATTACATTTTGGTATTACAACTCACACTACTACGAAAGTTCAGTTTTTATTAATAATCTAATAAACAAGCATTTTTGTATTTTAAATGTATAAAAAAATATTGTTAAATGTATTTTATTGTTATAAGGGCATAACTTGATATTTGTGTGCATATTTGATATAATATCAAAATATTAATATACCTACCAACGATGCCCTGCAATAGCCAAGCTATTTGGTTATTTCTTTGAGTAAAAAACATGGCTATAATAAGGTAAAGAAGTATGAAAGTGGACAGAAATTATTATTATTATTCTGGATTTGAAAGAAATGTAATTTGTTTATACATTTCTGTAAAATGGTTGACATTTTTAATATTCTTATCATTATTTAATAGACTATTCTGACTATAATATATTTAGAGTGTATTTCCAGTTTCCAATATTAATAATAATTTTTCATTGGACGGTCTAAACAACATATTTTGCAAAATGTATAGAGTTATATGACAAATGACTGATTTTTAAAACTTTAATAAAGAGAGAAAACTACAATAATCAAATTATATTTTAAATTAAAACTTTGAAAGCATGTAGGAAGTAACTATTATTTTTTTATTTATCTTAAACACGGCAACTTAGGGCATTAGCTGTTTATAGGGGGGACGGTTAGTTTAAACACGTGAACTCCGGTATACTCAGAGTGCTTACGCAACTGAGTGTTGACACCGCGAGTAAGTATTATTGTTGTAAAATAAACCTTATTAACAAATTTATATTATTTGTTGTCATTTATATTCAATAGTGAAGGTTGAAATTAAATCTCAAGTGTATCTGATTATTTTGACTAGGTAGTAATAAAATAAAATCAACCAAATAAAATGTGATGAATTATAGCATTTAACTAAAACATCTATATTTTAATAACACAATATGAAAGTCCATCATAATTATGATTAAATAGAATTCTATCAATGAGACGCGTATAGACAATTTTCGAATTTTTAAAATTTTGGTTTTGTAATAAATAAACACAATAGTTATACTTGTACATTTCAGATTAAAAAATACATAATGAAATAATGAGTAAAAACACAATAAATCCATGAATTGTAATATGATCGTGAGTTATAAATAAAAAATTCAATTAACCCCCAATAAGTCTTAAAATAAACTAAAAAAACATAAAAATTTATAGATAAATAACATATAGGATGTATACAAAAAAATTACCTGTCACTAAGTAAAGTATGTTTGTTGCACTTACAACATTTTTTAATCGGTCATAAATCTGTTAAAGGCCTTGCTCTCTTCTTCGTGGGCTTTGCGGATGGCCTCAAGCGACGGCCTGGGATGGACTGGTGTCGTCAACGTGTCGTTGTCACAGATAGGCCGCCTCGATTTGATGTTACCGTACGGATTGACCATGAGGTAATCCACATTTTCTGCTTCAGACGGCGATGGACAGCAACCGTTCTCGAAGACTTTGGGTTTGGAGGGCCGCAGCGCCAACCGGAAGCGACGAGCCATGTTTGCCCAGAAAAATCCTGTTGCAAATTTTAAAGGTCATAGATTTTAACTTTTAACAATTGAATGCCAAAATTATAATATGTTTCATATATATCTCTCATAGGTAAATTATCGGGAAGCACAAATTCACGTTTTCTCAAAATGATTAATTTTTATTTTTTTTGTTTTGCTGTTATAAATTTTACCAAAACTTCTTTTTTATATAAATAAGCTCATTTTTCACAACTTTAAAATTTAAATTGATTAAAATCATAAAATATTATAATTAATGCAAAAGATAAAAACCAAGTATAAATGCACATAAAAAATGTATTAAACGTTTATGAGAAAAAAAACAAACAATTTAATTTTGTTTTTGTAACATTTAGAAAAAGCGACTGGTGCCTTTAAACATAAAAAAATGTACATTTACATACCTTTTTGCTTTAAACTGTCGCCTATCGATACCCGCTTAACACTTTCGCCATTAGAACGTGGTTTGCAGTTGACGGGCGTGTCTGAGAGCGTTTGCAATGGCGTGTCTGAGAGCGTTTGCAACGGCGCGTCTGGGAGCGTTTGCAAAGGCGTGTCCGAGAGCAATTGCAACGGCGCGTCTGGGAGCGTTTGCAAAGGCGTGTCCGAGAGCAATTGCAACGGCGTGTCTGGGAGATTTTGTACTGACGGCGTGTCCTGGAACTTTTGCGTTGGTGTCTGCATCGGCGTCTGGTAAAAACTTGGAGGGCTACCCACCGACGAAACGACTACCGACCACTCGACGGACGCGGTCGCAGACTCCGGTACCTCCGTGCGCGTGTTGTGCGGCGTGGACGGCTGCGGCAATGGAATCGCGGGACTGCTCTCGGCCACCGGGCGCAGGTGTCTGATAGTCGTCAGGCTGGACCGACGAGCCTTGAGTATGGTCCTGGCGCACATTTCTATCATCTCCGCACGCTGTTCCACAGTCCAGCGCTGTTCGTCGGCCCGACGCAGTTCCTCGGCACAACGCAGCTCCTCGGTCCTGCGCAGCTCCTCGACCCGGCGGTGTTGACGCCGCTCCATCAATCGCAGCCCGCTGCCGATGGACTGTGTCGTGGTCGAGGAGCTGGCCACGCCGTGCAATCTCTTCCGACCGTTAATGAAGTGGCCACCGGCATGGGCAGTCTGCTGTTTTCCCGGCTGCTGCAGGACCTGCGACGACCGGAAACGGCGTCTGATCACAGGGCCTCCCGGAACTGCGACATGCACACGCCGCTCGTGCTCCACCCGGTGTTTGGTGCAACAGAAAACGCGGAAACACGTTGGACACCGGACGTACCGCAAATGCTTCGAACAGAAACAGCATCGACCATTGTAAATATACAATATTTATAATAATAATTATAATCATTTACATTTTTAATAATTCGTAAGTAATTGCGGAACTTTCAAAGCCACCTCCAAAATATTAAATAATCAAGATTATTTTTAGCTGAGCACTAAGGATGAATGGTACTCAATATTTTTAAAACAAACACTTAACGTACATTTGGATGAATAGTACTCTGGATTCGTAAAACAAACACTTGAAATACACTTAGTTCTAAAATATTTGTTTCATAAACTGGTACCTACATCGTATTTGTTGTAAAATTTATTTGATTTACGTACCTATACCAATACCAGAGTCAAAATAATCTTGAATTAAAAGTGTACATATATATTTTTATTAATTATTTTAATCCATTCTTTAAGAAGATAATGGTCACAACACTCACAACTGAATATGTTCGTGTATACTGTATATGAAATAGGATTTTAACTTAACCAAAAAATATTTATGGAAATACTACGAGCGAGCGGCTTACCTCGAATGCATAATATTACAGATAAATATATTATGTATACCTTATAACTTCGATAAATATTTACCACATTATATTTAATTAAAAATAAACAAATTAATAGATAATAATATATTAATAAATAATAGGTATATACCTATAGTATCACCAAGTTGTCGGTTTAATTAAAAAGGTAGATCGGTTCTAACTAAAATCTATCCACCCCATTATTATTATTTATTAACACCTTCGACACGAGCTAAAGTAATTATTATTTATAATAAAGTAATAGCTAACTTAAACTATGAGTTATAAAAAAAAAATACTCATTATTTTTAAAAGCATATAGGTTATATGTAAAGTTTGAACTAATAGTGGTTTAGTGCAGATAAAAGAAGTGATTTATAAATAAAAATGTAATTAAATCTCCTAACACACGACTTTATAATAAATAATGCTCACACAAGAGTAGGTACGTAGTTGCAGTATATACATCGTATTGTGCACTATATTGTCTGTTGGAAATTGATTTGCCCATGTCTCCCAAGCCCAACTACCTTTAAGCTTAGCCAAATATTTTGAATTTAATACTTACGTCGAACACTCGATCCATAATATACCTACCCAAACCAATGGAATAATAATATTTACTTCACAAACGATTTGATATATTACAATAGTTCGTTCGATCGTTTGATATCGTGATCAAAATATGTATTGCGGTATTGTGTACTGTATAGGTTAGAACTTATTAGAACTCTTCTCATGAGATTTCGTTTGACAACAGACCCAGCACTGCCGTAGTTGACACTTTATAAAATATTATGACAATGTAATAATATTATTACTGATGATCGATTCTACGATCTCATTACTGGTGGACTTCGTAATACTGGCACACTAGTACACTACATATAGGGTATTACCAAACGGCCGATAAAATATCTAAAACCGTTTACAACAGATAAGCTGGGTACGTTATCTTTGAGAATGATAGCGATAGGAACATAAATTATTAAACCGATTATTTATTTCGGTTCGTCCGGGATGAACAAATCAGTAAGTTAGTACTCCTTCCCTCAATTTTAGTATATTATATACCATACGGAGACATTATCTAAACGGAACAAAAAATCACTTAGCACTTTCCCTACTTCTCTTACAAATAAGAAAATAATAATATGTCATATTATGTTTGATTCTTAAGAGGACGTCACACCCGCACGTGTTGTCTCTGTCTTACAAACGCTTAACATCCCAAATTTACGCTTAGCAGTTCACGTTTTATGTCGTTAGCTTAAAAATTAGAGTAAATCGACCTATTATGAAACTTGATGATAAGAACTTTATCCGTGTTTTGTTGGAAGTTTTTTTTACGACAATTCAGTTTTTAAGTGAGGTATGCTTGTATAATAAATGTAAATTAAAAATGCTCATAACTCACTTAAAAACTGAATTATTGTAAAAAAACTTCCAACAAAACACAGATAAATTTCTTAACATAAAGTTTCATAATAGGTCGATTCACTCTAATTTTCAAGCTAACGGCATAAAACTTGAACTGCTGAGCGTAAATTTGGTATGTTACTCGTTTGTAAGAGTGCGACAAGGGTATTATAAAAGGATGTTTTTTTTTCAATAATGTTCAATAGTAACCACTTTTAAGGTGAAATGCAAGTGTTTCACAGATGATAGGTCTTGCGCATCAAATTAATAGTTTTTTCAAGCATCATTTCCGTATTTCATAAAATGTAATATAGTGACAAATAAAAAATAGTAACATTCACGGTTTTAAAAGCTAATTGTAAAATTATGATAAAACAAAACGGGTCAAGTCACTCTACTATATGGTAGTTTTCAATAGTGCACTGTCATTTAATAGATCACTGTTAGTAGGAATGCAAGTGTCACAACTTACATTTGAATACAATAAGATATATAATTATTTATAGGTATAAAAAAATGATTTTGGTGTATTTCTCAATTCTAAAAATAATAAAATATTTAATAATTATTTATTTATTTATATTACTATAGCTGGTGTCTAAGTATAAATATTACGGTAGGCTGAATTCAATTTTTCCAAACACATCACATATATAACAGTCTACCGAGTATAAGGAAGACCTGACAAAAGAAAAAGTATATATATTGTGTTTTGATCAATATTTTTCAATTTGTTTTTTCTGTATGATATGATTTGTCTACTCGTGCACTTCAAGTATATAATAAAAAATTTCAAATTTGGTTATAATTTTTGGAAAATTTCAAATTAGACAATTTTTAAATCTGGTCTTAACAAACTTTTGATTTAAAAAAAATGTATCTAAGTTAAGTGATTTATTTTTAATGATTTTTCAAATGAACATTTTTTTTAAAGTAATAATAAGATTAAAAATGCTCATAATATAATATTTTTTACGACAGATCATCTTTACCTTAGAAATAATGTGATTTCAAAAAATTGTAAAAATAAACTACGTATAACTTAAATAAATGTTTTTACAGTCAACATTTTTCAGAAAAAAAGATTAAGAAATTGGCTATTTCGAATTTTTTAAATAAATGTATATCAGATTTTAAAAAGATTAAATTAATAAATTTTATTGCTTACAATGAATGTTTTACACTTCTCTCAATGCAAGATTCTTTAAGCATTTTGTTGGTTAAAGAAAACAACTTATGAAAATGAAGGAGCGACATAAGTCTATCTGCTTGCAGGCGGCAAATTGCTTAATCCGCTGATGGAGTAAACACTAGCTCTTTCGCTGTTACTTATCAGAAAACTGTGCTTTCGGGTACCTATAGGAAGTAAGTTTCATATAAAATATAGACTAGATTTTTAGTTTATAGGTTTAGGTATTTACATTTAAAATGTATAGATAAACATGTGCACTGCAGACAGAGCAGACAGCAATACTGTATGGTTTGAATCGTTTCTATTTGAAAGAATAATTAATACAATAACATTATTGATAGTATATTTTTATTAAATTATGGTTAATGGGAGGCTATTACTGCATACACGTCATATATTTAATTATAAAAACTGAACTAGAAAATCTGAATTTTATTTTGAATTTGGGGTTAATTTGACTGTTAATTAACTTAGGTACCGTATATTATAATACTATATGCCTACTTATTTCTAGCTATAAAAATGTTCTTTATACATTCACCTGTACGGCTATAATATAGGATATAGGTATCTACAACTATTGATTAAATAATAAATATACATCATATAATAGTAATTACTAATTAGTATATTATATTGTATAGGTATTTAATCAATGGAATAAAATCCTAATGTTATCATTATTATCTGTTCTCGTAAACAGTCAAAATAACTTAAAACCTATAGGATATTGTATATATTATTATACTATATATATTTAAAGAATTACGAAAAAAAAACACAGAAAAAAATTAAATATAAATGTGTAACTACCGTGTTGCGCGTACTTATAACAAAGTATAATATATTATAATGGAAGTAATGTCATAAATTATTATTATGTTTTGTTAATTATATAAAAGTGGCCAATATAGGCAATTTTATATGCGGTTCTCTTTTTTTTTCTAATTTTTTTTACTATTACAAGCTGTTTTTTTTATATAATTAACAGTTAAGCATAAGCCATATTCAGATATAAAATTATTTTTACTTGACAATTTACATTGAATAAATAGGTAAAAAAAAAGTTTCTTAATTGAGTATCCGCATATAAAATTGCCTATATTAGCTACAATAATGTTTGAATCATTAGTTACTAATTACTAGTAGAGTATAATTACATGTGTTCACATTTATACTTAATTTTTTTTCTGGGTTTTTTTTCAACCTACCATATTTATATGACCGATAAAGCATACTGATTATATGATGTGATGTTATATTCTGTTGGTTGTTAGGTACATGGTTACATTTTTTTCCATCGTGGCATAGGATTGTTAAGTATATGGATATGATATTGAAAAACATTTTAACAGGTACATCTATGTGAAAAGGTTATTAATTTCGTGTGGCTTTATCACTGAACAATGAATATTTAATGAAATTAATGAAACTGATATAGGGAGTTACTAAAAATTGTTTTATTAAAAAAACATTGTTATTCTAAAGTAAAATTATCGTTAAGTAGGTAGGTAGGTACCTAAAAATTGATTTGTCAATCATACCTACCAAATCATGAATAATCATTTTAAGAAAATGAAACGAATGGAAGAAGAAATGAACAAGTAATTTCCGCTTTTAGTCTATACCTATGTAGAATCAAATATTTTTTTTTAGTTTTGGACTTGCTTTATAAATTATAACTTATTACTAATTATTAATAGGCGTCAACGTCAGGACATTGTTTTCAAAAACTCGAAGCATTAAGAAATATTAATATGTGATAAGTTATCAGTGATACCTGACTAATAAGTTGTAACCTTAGATCATATACAATATATATAGTATATGATCTAAGGTTGTAACTGTTCTATCATGCGAGTTTTAATCCCCCCCCCCCTAGTAGGGCAGATTTAACAATTGTAATGTACCTCGACATACACACACACACACACACACACACACACACACACACATACAGTTAACGATCATTTTTTTCATTCACAAATATTTATTTATTATTACATTTGAGGTAAAGCATTATATTAACTTAAAAATGTTCATTTAGATTTGAACAGGATATTGGTATAAACAACAATGTCAATGATGATGATAAAACTAAAAATTGTTTTAAAAAAATAAAAATTCAAGGTCATCATTTTCAACAATCCCCCTTGAATATTGCATTATCTAAAGAAATCAATTCACTGTTGCAAAATCAAAGCTCATCTACTTTAATTTCTAAGTAAGACAATATAAGTACCAAGGTACAATATGAGGTACCTATTTAACTCTAACATATTATATTTTATTTATAATACTTACATGTTAAATTGTTAAGCAAATTTAAACAGTCTTCCATTTTTTTTCTTATGATACTATTTAGGACAAAAACTAAGGCTTTGATAGGTAAAAGTGAACTAAATAGCAAAGCGCACATAGCAATTGCAGCTGCTGGATGTGCATCGTCGTCTTCCAAAATATACGGTACTAAACAAAAACAATTCTATCGTAAGGCCGCTGGAAAGGTTTGGTACGATCCTACTTTGGAACAATGGTCAAATGGTGAGCATGATTTTATTCAATTTTGTTATTCGAGGGTATATTAAATTCATAACAATGATTATTATTTAATTTTTTTAACTACAAAATGTGTGAAGTTGAACGCCTGCATTCATCGTGTATTCATGTAATACCCAATTGCCGGTCATTATTTTTGTTGGGCTTAGAACGAGACTGGTTCCTTAAATGCTAAATAATGAACATACCACCTAAGGCATCGGACTTTTTATGGATATAAATATATTTATAATATTATGCACAGTTGATAATATTATACATTGCATTTCTTGCATTTAATCTTTCCTATAGTTCCTTATTATTTGTTTTTAACGTACCATCCATCATTCATCAAATGCATAAGCAAATATTAAGTTTTCAGTGTTTGTTGTTACTTGATACCCACTATTATTAATATGTAAATATTTATAAAATATATTTTTGCTCGTATCTACTCTGATAAGCAGGATATAATGTAAAATGATCACACAGATGATTTTCGTTTATTCGTGGGAAATTTGGGAAGAGAAGTTAATGATCGTATGTTGAGCATGCCATTTATGCAGTATCCTTCATTTGTCAAAGCTCATGTAGTAAAAAATCGTGAGACAAGCATGTCACGCGGTTGCTACGGATTCGTGTCATTTGGAAATTCTGTGGACTATTTACGAGCTATCAAAGAATTGCACGGTAATACAAAAAATAATGTAATATAGAGTATAGGTATAAAATTATACAAATATACTGTCATGTATCTATATATATATTAAATAAAATATTAACAACTATTTCTGTAAATATAGGTACCAGTGGTGGTCAAACGAGAGGGGGGGAGGGGTTAATGAGGCGGATAAATGCTCATGACCTTTTTTTCAATATTTATAATAACTTAGATGTAGGTATAAAACCGTGTAACAGAAATTACATTTTTAATGCTCAAATAGAGTACGTAAAAATTAGCTACGTACCCCCCCCCCTCAATGACAAAATCATTTGGTCACCACTGATCCGTACTATAAATAGTATAAATGTCTAAATCAATGATGCAAATTTATAATTATATTCTTTATATTTCAATTAGGTACGTCATGTTATATAAACCTATAATAATGATTAATATTTAATATGTACTTATAGTTTATACAGGGCCGGCGCAAGAAGTAGTGGAGCCCTGGGCGAAACCATGTTTTGGCGCCCTTAACAAGCCCCTCCCCCCGCCTAGTTTGAGTAGTACAGTGAAACCTCTATATAGTGGACAGCCACGGGGAATTAAAAATTGTCCACTATAGAGAGTTGTCCACTATTGAGAAAACCTTTACTTAGTGGACATTTTCAAAAAATTACTAAATGTCCACTATAGGGAGACACTATAGGAAATGGGCTATATGTACACTGTATACATATGAACATATACATTGGAATATTAATTTTCTAGAAATAAAATAATTTTTCTATTGTCCATCTCCATTTTTCTGTTAAAACACATTAGCCAATCTGTCATTAAATCTCGATTCATCCATGCCTTATGGTTAGCTTTCCAATTAACACCTAACGTTGATACATTTACACTTTTGAAACAACGTGGTTTTAGTGATTTTCCAATTCTTAACGGAGTTTCAAATTCCCCGATCATATTTACACATAGTAAAACAGTTAA